ATGTGACTGGGTGCTCTATGCTGGGTGCTGGGAACACTAAGGGGACATGCCCCTGTCCTCATAGAACTCCCAGCTGAGAAGAGGCAACAAGTATATGAACAGAAAGTGTCAAGAGAAGCTGGCCTAAAGAAGAGCAGGATGGAAGGACACCAGGGAATGACCCACCCTGCCTGGGGTGGGGTCAGGGCAGCCCAGAAGGTACAACCTGTAGCTGACTTTGAAGAATAAAGGGGGACTAACCAGGTGAGGAGGTGGCTGTAGGGGCCTGGAGGGCAAGCACAGTTGAGAGTGAGGCATGGAGCAGCATGTGGCTGAGAATTGCAAGCACTTCTGTCTGGGAGGAGCACAGGCTGAAGATAGGGGAAGGCTGCGACTACCTGGAGGTGGGAGATAAGAGCTAGCTCACAGAAGGTTCTAGGATGCCTGCCACTGGGTCATTCATTAGGCACTTAGTGCATGGAATCTTATGAGATGCTTCACAAGCTGAACATAGTGGTGCACACCTGTAATCCCAGAGACTCTGAAGGCTGAGGTAAGAGGATGGCAAGTTCGAGACTACCCTGGCCAACTTAGCCAGACCCAGTATCCAGATAAAAAATAAAAAAGGGCTGGGGATGTAGCTCAGTGGTAGAGTACCGCTGGGTTTAATGCCCAGTACCTCAAAAAATAAATCAAATAAAAATAAAAAAATAAAAAAGATCCTTTGGAATCACAAATGTCTCTGAGGATCAAATGAAAGATAGAGACTGATATTTTCTCCTCAAAGAATAATATTTTTAATACAATTCCAGAGGTATCAGAGATACTCTTTTCCATGCCTATCTGTGAACCACAGGCTTCCAGAATGCTCTTAGTATAAATAAGGAAACCCTTAGTATGGCCTCCAAGGCTCTGCATGATCTGGCCCCACCTACATCTTCAGTCTCACCTTGTCCCCTTTGGATTCCCCACTCAGCCACATAGGCTTCTTTGCAGTTCCTGGATGTAGCACTTCAGGTCATTTGCCTAGGTCCTTTCCTCTACCTGGAATGCTCTTCCCTTGCTACTGTCACTTTTTGCTTAGTTTAATTTTATTAGTTGGTGAATATCTGTTTCCTCTCACATGGATGGAAGTTTCATCAGAGCAGGACATTGTGTACCCTTATTTAGTGCTATATCTAGCACCTGGCACAATGCTTGGTCCATGGTATCTATTGAATAAAGAAAATGAAGGTTCCACCCGTGCCCCTGTGACTGGGTCAAACTCCTTATCCTCAATTCCTTCTTCCCTTCAGCCTCCTGGGGCATCATCCCATGAGTCTACAAAACAGGCCCAGATATGTTCAAATTCCAAAAGTGACTCCAGATTAAGGTGTCTTTTCCTAGAATTCTTCCCCCATCCCTAAAACAAACAGGCTACTCATGGTTCTCCTCATATCCCTGGGAAAGGAGTCAAACTCTTGGGTTCAACTTGAGACTCTTAGTGATGTATGCATTTTGTCTCACTGAATCCTAATAAAAACCCATATGTTAAGAATTGTCATTCCTCTTCTACAGATGAACAAACTGAGCCTCAGAGGGGCTACCCAGCTAAAAAGTTGTAGAGCATGTAGATGTTTTGTCTTACCAGAGAGAGGAAGGGGCTTGCCAGAGGTCACACTGCATCAGTCTTAGAGGCAGGACTAGAATTCCTGTTTCTTAACTCCTGTCAAGCCAAGAGGAAAGTCTGGGATAGAGGTAAAGCCTGTAGGGTGATAACTGCAAATGGGCTCAAGGTGAGCTGCTGTGTGAGAGCTAGAAAAATTGCTCTAAGAGAGAACACAAAGCAGAGGCTGAGGCCAGAGCCCTGAGGGCTGGGCTTTAGGGGGTGGGCAGAGGGAGAGGAAGCCACAAAGGGCCCACAGATGCCAACCTTGCGGTGGTCCGGAGGGCCTCTCTCTCTCTCAGCAGCTTTGGCTTTCTGGAGAGGAAGCAGCTGCCTCGGCAGGGAGGCAGGAAGGCTGGCCTGTTGCCTGTCAGCTCCTATTTCTTCTAGATCACTGACCCTCTGGCCCCTCCCAGGGCCACCTTCTGCTCAAAACAGCCAGGGGCCTGGGCTCTGAGGCCATGAAAGGACAGGAGAGCTCTGAGCTGTATCTGTGGTCCTCTTCAGGAGCCTCACCTTCTTCAGACCCAGTGGTTCTCTCCCTTACCCAGTGCCACCTATATGGAGGAGAGAGATTACTATGGTGGGTAGGAAAGGAACCAGGGCACCTGGATCCTAATGAGGCTGGCCCTGTGAACTTCAGTGAGACTCTGCTCTTCTATAGGCCTCAGTTGCCCATCTGTAGAATTAGGCTGGGCAACTTCCTTAGAGGAACAGACTCTTGATTGTGAATGGTGTGTCTTCTGATTTGTACTTTTCTCTTTAGGGAACATTTCTCTAGGCCATTCTAGAGAACAACACAAGAAAAAGTGAGAGTTTATTACAGTGATAAGGAATATTGGCCAGGGCCCCATCTTGATATTCCAAATGGGTGATTTGAATTTTACTTGATGTGGAGTGTCCCAGAATACCTCCTAAATATAGTCTCTTTAACCATGCTAAAAATTAGGATGTTTGTGAAAAGCTTCTATTGAAAGATTTCAGTATTCACAGTGAAACAGCCAAGGGGACATATTCCAGATTTGGGAGTGGCCAAGCTAGGTCCTGATCTTGGGGTTCTGCCACTGGTACTGAACCTCTCTCCATCTCCGCTTTCTCTACAGAAGAGACCTAGTGACACAAACTTCTCAGGGTGCTCTGGGAAATTCCAGTGGAGGTGCACATAGGGGGCCCAGCTGAGGTTTGTTTTGCCATAAGAAGTAACGAGCTCTCCAAGCTGCTTCCTCTTAGGAGGAGTTCCCAGCTCTCCTGGGGGAGCAATGAAGGAGCAAAGTTTCCAGTTGCAGCCTGGCCTGCAGCCCAGCAGGCCTGGCCCCGCCTCCTTGGTTCCTCCTTCTAGGGAAGGGCTGGGGAGGAGGGGGTGGTGACACGGTGGAGGCACTGGCGGGCCAGGGGGGCCTGCCCTTGGGACAGGTCCAGACCCATGGAGCCCCCTGGGAGGAGCAGCAGGTAGGAACCTGGGTCCCATAGCCTGATCCCCTTTCTCCCTGCCCAGGCCCAGACCCAGTCCCTGGGCTGCTGATTCAGCAGCCTCCTAGCTTCCTGGTTCCTGGCTCCTTTCTTGGACTCTTGGAGGCCTTTGGCTCGGGGGAGGGAACCCGCTGGAGCAGGCATGGGCATCTGGGTGCCCAGCTCTGTAAGGCCCTTGGAGCCCCAAGCAACACAGTCTGCGGCCTGGGAGGGGTGCGCTTGGTGGCTGCCCTGGCATGCTGGCCTGGCAGGCACAGCACTGCAGGGTTTCAGCCGCTCCAGCTGCTGAGATCCTCTGATACCAATATTCCAGCAGCCCAAGGATCTCTGAGTCTCAGATTCAGTAAGATATCAAGTCAAAGATTTGGGGTGGTGGTTGACACAGAGATGGTACTTAAGAGACAGTCACTCTGATGATGATGATCATGATCCTGAGTATTCTAGAGCCTCAGATAAGAAGTCTCAGATTCAAAGATTCTCTGTAAGGTTCTAAAATTTGGGCATCTTCAAATTCACAGCAAGTGAGAGAGTGGGCAGCTGGCCTGACCTGCAGCCCCATCTCCCAACTTTTTACTTGGGCTCTTGAATGGCCAGGCCCCGACTACAACCTGCTCTTAGGGAATTGGGGAGGGGGGCGCTGATTGACTCTGGCCAACTGGTGTGACCCCAGCATATGCTGGGTAGGGCAGGGACCAGGCCCTTAGCCTTATTCCTTATTGTCCTTCTTCCTCCCCCTTGCCATTCTCTGGACTTTAATCTTGGGAAGAAGTAGGAGGTAGAGGGGCCTTTGGACTCTGCACTGAGGGGTGGGGGTACAGCAGCTGGGGGGGTGGCATGTGGGCCCTGCCTTGGGGTGGGGGGCTCAGCACTGACCTTGGAAGCACATACTCCTGCTTGGAACCTCTCTGTCCTCTGCCTTGCCTGGGCTCTACCCGCCTACTCAGCCCCTAGTCCTAGTCCTATCCTGTCACCAAGACCACCGAGACCTTGTCAGCCTCCTCTGCCCTCACCCGTCCTCTGCTCTGGCATTCTCTGTCACTCCCTGTCTTCTCTCTGTGTCTTTTGTCTCACCCTTTCTCTGTCTTCCTCTTTCTCCTTTTCTGTCTCTTTCAGTTTCTCTCTCTCTCTCTCCCTCTGCTCCTTCAGTGTTTCCTCCTTCTCTCACTCCCACCTGGGTTCTTCCCTCTTTTGGGGACCAGAGCCTCTCCTTTCTCCATCCTCCCCTCCCTTCCTGTGAGGGGTCTTCTATAAGGGGAGCCCCCCATATAACTTTTCCCTTTCTTTCATCCCCTCTTCCTCCTCCCCTCCTCCCAACCCATGTGGCGTCTGATGTGAGGAGGGCTCCTTTCCCCCTTCCCTGCTGTGGTGTCCCAGCGTCTCTCAGTGGCCCAGGTTCCCACGGAGTCACCTGGAACACAGGAGGCCCAGCCGGCTCTTTCGTCTCTACTGCCCCCTGTTGTCGTTGTGTTCTGTTTGTGGTTCGAGTGCCGTCCTCTCTTTCTTGACTTTGTGGTTTTTTTCTTTTTCCTTCCTTCCTTCCTTCCTTCCTTCCTTCCTTCCTTCCTTCCTTCCTTCCTTCCTCCCTCCCTCCCTCCCTCCCTCCCTTCCTCCCTCCTTCCCTTCCTCCTTTCCTTCCCTCCCTCCCTTCCTCCCTTCCTTCCCTCCCTCCTTCTTCCTTCTCTTCCTTCCTCCCTCCCTCCCTCCCTCCTTCCCTGTCTTATCTTCCTTCCTTTTCCCCCTCCCCTCCTCTTCCATTCCCCATCCTCCATTCCTCCCAGCCTTCCCTTTTTCCATCCCCCACTCACTCTCACCTCCTTGTTCCCATTGCCCATCCTGCCTTCCCCTCCCTCCCTGTCTTTCTCTCTCTCTGTCTCTCTTTCTCTCTCTGTCTCTTACTGTCTCTCAGGTCCACAGCGTCTCATACTCTACACCAGTATTGCTGTCCTACTCAGGTCCTTGACTCCATGAAGCTTACCCCCTCAGGCAGGCTGGCAGAGAGCAGGTAAGAGCTAGACCCATCCCTCTCCCACTCCCTCACCCTCCCAGACCAATATGCAATATCATTGCCAGACCCTTCCCCATGTCCCTTAGCCCCTGGTGTGACTGTGGAATGGGTGTCTGAATGTCTGAGTAGAGTACCTGAGAGATCAGGTTAGCAGATCAAAGAGGACATATAGAATTTATTTCTAGTTTATCCTTTTTAAAAGAAATCCTTCCCTAGAGATCTGCCCCAAATGGCAAAAGTGGTTCATTTCAGAATTTGTGATACCTGAGCTGTTCTGAAGTATGAATAGGAGTTTGCCAGTTAGGTAGACTTGGGTGTTTAGGCTCAGGGAAGAATCTACCCACACCTTTGGAGGACATTGTTTCCAAGTTAATTAGAAAACATGCTTTATGTTTTCTAATTAGAATTCAACAAAAGGAAATGTTAACGACGATATCAAAAAGACTAGACCCTTCCCCCATTTGAAAGTTTAAAATACTTGCATTAAAGAGGAAATTAAGAATGGAACTTATAGACTATTTAGAAGAAATGTTATCAATGAGAGTATCATATACCAAAACCTATGGGATATGACCATAGGGATTCCAGAGGAAAATTTATAGCCTTCAACGCTTTTGTTAGTGAACAAGGCAGAGTAAATTAAAAAGGTGAAAGATTTATACGATCTGAAGAGAAACCAGAGTATGGGGCAGAGTAAATTAAATGAACTAATTATTCCACCAGGAAGCTAGAAAAAGAACAACCAAAAGAAAACAGAACAAAGTAATTACTGTAGATAAAGCCCAAAATTAATGAAATAAAAAAAAGATTTGATAAAGTAATAGGTAGCTTCTGAAAACAACAGCAAACTAGGTAGACCATCCTTTAACAGATACAACTGAGAATAAGGGAAGAACAATAATAAAATAAGGTATGAGGGAGGGGATTTAATCATGGATTCTGAGGCGATGAAAAAAATATAAGAAAATGTTCGTATGCTTTTATACCAATAATCATGAAAATTTAAATGAAGTTTGTTGTTTTCTAGGAAAATGGAAATTATCAAAATGACCTAAGGAGGGACAGAAAACCCAAAATAGAATGGAAAAGGATAGAATAAATTAAAAAGTTGGTCAGTTTTCTCCTTGGAAATTGTACCAGGTCCAGTTGGTATTTTAGTAGTCCTAGTATGATGGAAGTTCAGTTGAGTCTGGAAAGGTCAGATAACAGGAAAACATGGACAGCTTTTTAGTTCATTCTCTAAGGCCAGCCTGGGCAACATAGTGGGATCTCATATCAAAAATAAAACGGGGCTGGGGGTGTAGCCCTGGGTTCAGTTCCCAGCACTGCAAAAACAAATACATACATACATACATATATACATACAAAACATAACACACATTAAAAAAACAACATTATAAAAAAGGCTAGTAACTAGAAAGGTTTAAACAAAAAAACCCCAAACTATAGCCTAATCTCACATATTAATAGAGCAACAAATATCTTAAATGAAAGATTAGCAAATGGAATCCATTAGGGTATTAAAAAATATAGCTTGACAAATGAAGGTTTTCCAGGAGTACAGGGATTGTTCAAAATTAGGAACTCTTATTGTAATTTATTACATTAAGAGATTAAAGAGAAAAGATCATATAATCATCTTCATAAATACTGAGAAATGATCTTATAAAATTACACATCTATTCTCTTGCTACAATGGACTCGTTTGTTACACAGCAATAAATAACTAAAAGAAGTAAACTAGGAATCAATGAAAACTTCCTTAATTTGGTGAAGAATTTTTATCAGAAACCAAAGACAATTTTCAAATATAACAGTGAAACAGTAGATACATTTCCACTAAAATTTAGGAATAAAATAAGAATGATTACTATCACTGTTCTTTTATAAATAAATAATGTTTTTTTGGTGGGGAACAAGGGAGAGTACTGGGATTGAACCCAGCGGTGCTTTACCACTAAGCTATATCCCCAGTTCTTTTATTTTTTTTTTGTTTTGAGACAGGGTCTTTCTACATTGCTGAGGGTGGCCTTAGCATTGCAATCCTCCTACCTCAGCCTCCCAAGTCTCTGGGATTACAGATGTGTGCTACTGTGCCCTGCTGCTATCACTATTTTTTTAGCTAATAATTTTTCTGGAGGCTTTAATCAATGGGATTTTAAAAACATGTAAGTATCCTAAATATTAGAAAGAGTCACAAATTTTGAAAATGACATGATTGTCTACTTAGATGATCAAAGAGAATAAAATGGAAATTTATTAAAACTAAATAATAAAATTCAATGCAATGGATAGAAACCCCAAACCATTAACTTCTCCTAATACTAGCAATAACTAGTTAGAAGACATAATAGAAAAAATCCTGCTCATAGTACCAAAAATTCTAAAATTCTGTAAAATTCCTGGGAATTTTCAAAAGTAGAAAATATTTCTCTGTAGAAAACTATAAAATTTCAATGAAGACTGTAAGAAGACTTAAGTACATCAAGGACGCATCCAATTCCTGGATGGGAAGGCTCAATATGGTAAAAAATGACATTTCCCCCCAATTTGATTGAAAGATTCAGTGAATTTCTCATTAAAATTTCAATGGTATTTTCTTTGTGAATTGGGCAATTGGATTTTAAAGGTCATTTGGAAAAGTAAATACTCATGAAGTACTAAGAAAAATTTGAGGAAAAAAGAGTAATGAGTGGGAATGCCTTGTTAGCTACAAAAACTTACAATATAACTTATAAATGTTATATCCTTACAGAAATAGGATCTATAAATGAAAAAATGAAGAATTTTTAAACAAATCCATATGTTGACATGAGAAATTATGATAGAGAAGACACTCAAATCAGTGGGGAGTTATTAATCAGGATGTGACTATTGGCTCCCTCTTTGGGAAAAAATTAAGTTAAATCCTCACTTCGTGTAAAAGCAATACAAAGAATACAACTCTAAAAGTACTAGAGAAAATCTGGAATATTTTTATAGTATTAGGGTGGAGAAGGCCTTTCAGAGCATGACTTTGAAACCCAGAAGCCAAGCCAGCCACTGTGGTATGCTGTAGGTGGTGTGTAGTAGGTCCCAGCTACTCAGGAGGCTAAGGCAGGAGGGTTGCATGAGTCCAGCCTGAACAATATAGGAAAACCTCTATCTCAAACAAACAAACAACAACAATATGACTAAAACAATAATGAAGTACCATTCTTAGGTACCAAAATGAAGAAGATTGGAAGGCTTGGGGGGAAATAGGATTTCTCAGATACCTTGACTGAAATACAAATTGGCACAGATTTTTAATTGGGCTAATTTGCCAGTTGCCACACAAATCTTAAACATGCCTATTTTTCTAAGTTCAGAACCATATTTAGATTTTCTTGTAAAAATCAACTTTTTTCTATTACTTGCCAGAGGTCTTTTCTAAAACATCCCAATCCAACTGCAAACACAAGCATATGAATATGTATATACCTATGTTTTAGTGGTATATACATATGATATGATAGGCAAGTGCTCTACCTCTGATCTATGTTCCTAGCCCTGTGCAACTCTGTATCACATACCCTTGTAGAATGTCATTCTCAACCAACTCTTTTATTTTTATTCATTTATTTTTGGTACTGGAGATCAAACTCATAGCCTCATGCATGCATGTAGGCTTCCACTGAGCTACATTCCTAGCCCATCAACCCAACTTTTTCTTTTTCTTTCTTTTTCTTTTTTTCTTTTCTTTTTTTTTTTTTTTTTAATTTAGAGATAGAGACTCATTGAGTTGCTTAGTACCTCACTTTTTGCTGAGGCTGGCTTTGAACTCGCGATCCTCCTGTCTTGGCCTCCCGAGCTGCTGGGATTACAGGCGTGTACCACCACGCCCGGCTCAACCCAACTTTTATTTAAAAGGTTGCATGATGTATGCTTCTCAAAATGAAGACAGGATTGCACGAGTAGGAATAATCTTTAATTTTAGCCAATCTATAAAAATGTTAAAAGCAATGGAAATAATTTTATTGGCTCTTTTAAAAAAAATGTTCATTCCTTTGGCCCTGTAGTTGAACTTCTAGAAATCTATCCTTTAATAGTACTTCCAGATATATACAAAGATGTCAGTACAACATGCTTGTGATAGTGAAAAGGAGAACAATCTCAATGTCCATCAGTATGGAATAGCTTTTAGCTGACGATACACACACACTATTAGCAGATTGAAAGTAAAACATAAATATCTGTACACAGTTATGGAAAGACCTCCAAGACTTATTGTTAAATGGAAAAATCAAATTGCAGAACAGGGTCATAGTATGATACTAGTTTTGCAATGAAAAGAACCCCCCTCCATAATGACAATGAAAACATGTTATACAAACCCTTTTATCATTTCAAAATTCCTGTTTTTTTTCCCTTGGTCCCATTTCCTTGCTAACTCATTTTCCTCCTCCTTTATACCTTTTCCCAGATCTTTCTTTTTCTTTTAATTAGTAACTCATTTGTTCAGCAAGTATTTTCTCTTGCCTGCTTTAGGTTAGGCCTTGTGCTGAATTTTGGTAGGATATTGGAATTAATTGTGTCTGGTCCTACTGACAGGGAGCTCAAATCTGGAAAGGAAGAAAGACACATAGACAGTGACAGCATAATGTGGTTTGGGATAGGACAGGATTAAGCTCAGAAGGCTGCCAGAAGAGGGGCACTTAACTCCATCTGGGAGTTGGGGAAGGCTTCCTACAGGAAGGGGCATTTGTACTGAGTCTCAAAAGAGTAATAGCTTTCTTTCTCTCCCCGCTCCTGCCAGAAATGGTCTTGTCTAATCTTTGACTCTTTGCAAGCAGGATGACCTCATGGGGGAAACAATTTAGTCAATACCTTTATTCAAGTCCAAATTCTTCTACTTACCAACTCTGTGAGTGGGCAAGTAATTTAGCCTCTGAGCCTTTGTTTCCTCTTCTGTGTAATGGGGCTAATGCCTGCTTACGTCTCAGGACTGTTTTTAGGATTGGAGATGACATATGTAA